TTCAAACAGTTCATGCCTCTGTAATCTCTTCTAGAGTAAACATCACCCTCATGTACCAAAGGTGTGTCTTGCTGAAGGGGGGCAGGTGACATGGCACCATATGGCGCATCAAGCATGGAGGAAGTCCATTTGCTTAGTTTTGAGGCAGAAGGGTGATGGGAGGCAAGCAAGTTACAACCTCTGGTAGTCACTGTATTATGAAATTCTGGCTTAACCCTTTTAACTTCATCACTGGCTTCAGTTTCCTGCAGAAAGGTGGACTTTCTGAAACTCTGTAGTCTGACAGCACTTTTCTGTGAACTGCTCCTGCTCTTCACTGTAAATACGCTCTGAATCTCTTGGTGTGTGTATACTGCTGTACCTCCTCACTATTCCATGCTATAAAACAGCAAAAAGATGGCATGTATGTTTTGCCTAAAATATGTGAGATTGGCCTGTATGTCTTTGGTGAGTTTACTAATTCAGGCTGAGGGAAAGAACCCTCCACAAAAGCATGCCTTTTTCTGAAGTAACACGGGGCTTGATTCAGAGTGCTGGGTTGGGCTTGATTATAAATGTGAGGTTTAGGCAACTATTTCAAATAGGAATTTATGCTTGCTTTATACTACTGGATAAGGAACGACTGACTTCTATGTTGTGCTGGCTTTTAGGCACTACCCATTTTGAGACTGACTAATTTTGCTTAGAGGACTTTGAGAGGACACTACCTTAGAGGAAGGAAAGAGATACAGTTACTGTCCCTTCAATAACTTTTCTTTCTACAAAATGTAAATTGGTCCTCAAAGGAAAGCAGCTGTTAACACTTAAAAGGATTCAATTTTCTGACAGAAAAACAACTATTGCTGGCTTTCAAATGATACTTGAAGCTCTGAAAGTCTGATCAGCTGGAATCAACTGATTAGTTTTTATTGCTATATATACATTTCTAGCTTGTATTAATAAGATAAAGACCTGAAAAGTAAATTTACAGCTGAGAATGCATAAACATTGTATTTAACTTAAACCAACAAAACAACCTTAAGAGCTTTTTTTTTTTTCCTAGCCAACTGATTTTTTTGGGGTCCTTTCTTGTGGCTTCTTGGCATTCTTGCTTTAGGCTGCTCTGAAATCCTTTCTGGTTTTAATTGTGTGACACTGATATTTTAGTTTTCCTCTGCTTGTGCTACAATTTCCCAAGGGGTGTTCAATATACTCCTAAAAGCAGGAAGGGTTTGAATTTGTGTGCAGTATTAAATCTTTCAGTTCTATTCTTCATGAAGAAACTTTTAAAAGACAAAACACAGAATTGTGACCGACTCACATATCTACATGTCCTTACCCATGTTCTTCAGCCTCAGGTTGACATAGGAGCTAATTTCTTTTTCTCTCTTCAGGGAACTTTGTTCTGCAGTGTGAGAAGCAGATGCTTACATTAACGGTTTTGTTCTTTTTACATTTTGAATATGGTGCTCCTAGGAGCCTGCTATGAAAGTACTTTAAAACTTGTGCATTTGGTGTGAAGAAGAGATGGGGAAGGGTCATGGACCTCTCAGTACATCCAGTTAAACATTTTTGTGTCAGAACAGCCTGATAGAAACCAAACTAAGAAAATGAGTCTTCCTGTTCAAGCCAAAACTTGAGACTGCTCCTTGTCAAAACATTCTAAGCCTTGGATAAAAGCAAAATTGTCTTTGACAATCATGCTGTGTTCCCTTGATCACTGTTTGGTCTTTGTTCCTGGCTGATATAATATTCCAGGACTCTGCCTCTACTTTGCATGAATCTTATGAGTTGCAGTGTGCACTTTAACTTGCTTGGGAAATTTGTCTTCACTTTCTGGGAGAAGACGGTTTAGATATGGTGTGATGGGTGATCTGATCTTACCTAGAAGCTGGGACCTTATGGTGGAGGTTACACTGCAGAGAGAGGTACTTCTGCCATCTGTCTCATCCTCTTTTAGTTCAGCCCTTTACCCACTGCCCAGCTGATTACAAAGGTGCACAGCAGCACCTGACATTCTGGTGGGCAGTGCTCCTTGTTTCCTTCAGTAGAAGAAAGGGAGGAAGAAGGTGCATTCAGATCCAACCATTCTCTTTCTTTGCTCCTGGAGCACAGCAGCTGTGCAAGTTGCCACATCCACATTTCACAGGGGCTGCAGCAGGAAAGGAGACAAATGTCTGCCCAGTGGGGCTGTATGATGCTGTTTTGGGTTGTACAGCAGAGCCTACTGCAGAATGGGGCACAGGGCAAGGTACTGCTGGATAGCAGGTATAGATTTCTGTTTAATATTGCTTTCATTCCCGTTTTCCTTTTTTAAATACAAGTTGACTTCTATGTTCTGTATTTTTCCTTCTTATTGTATCTCATGGCAAATAATAAATTTCTGTACTGAGTAGCCTAGAACTGGGAGTATTTGGTCTTTCACTGGTTTCAGCATGTTCTGCTCACAGTTCACTCTAGCTACCGGTGTCAGGCAGTTCTTAGGGTTTTTTTATGTGGACAGAATGCACAAAATATATATAATGTCCACTTTAATACCTTTAATCTTCCCTTCTAGGATGCTTCGTGGACCCAGCAGGTGCTGGCTTTGACCCTTTGCAGAGTTTGGCTGAACTTCTCTGGTGCTCTTCTGAGCTGTCCCTGCTGTCATTATGGGTTTTTTCCCTTTGATTTCTCAAATGTATGTCAAATATGTTATGAAGAACCTTAGTGCACTACAAAACATCCAACCCCATATTTTGCTGTTATGCTAAGCACAGTTTTTATTTTTGAATTCAAGGAAATAAAATTGAGATAGAAGTATAAATGCACAATTTCCTCAAAGCAAACCCCAAAATATCTAAATTGAAGGCCTCAGTACAAAATCTGACTCATTTAAGAGTGTTTTGTTTTTTTTTTTTTCGTGATTGTTTTTGCTTTTACATTCTGTAGAAGTAACGGCAGTAGTTTGTGCTGTTGAACATTCTGCATATATGCAATGTGGTTGGGGTAATTCTGCTTTTGGAACTTCGATTCTTTTGTTTGATTTGTTTTTTTAATGTAGTAACACTTGGGTGCTGTTGCACATCTGTTGGATATAGAGTAATACTTACTGTATAGACTATCAATACTCAAATTCAGAGTGTCTTGCATATTTCTACCTTTTAACTATCTATGCACTGCCCTGCAGTATGTGGTTAACTGTAGTAGAGTTTAATGAATTCTGTGTGGCAGGAATTCCCTGCACCAGAATGTTGATCTGGCTCATCAAGAGGAGCTAAATGAAGGTCTCTAGGCTGATGTCACTGAGGCGTGGCAGGTTGCTGAATCTGTAATGACATGGTAGGTTGAGGTCTGTTTTGTGAAGAGCAAATTTGAGTACTTGGGAGACACTTACTCTGCAATTAACAGATCCTTTCAAAGCAGCAAGTCATTTTATTAGGGTGGATTGTCAGGACTGGAATGCCAACTTGTAAACCTCCATGACTTGGAGTTTATTTCTTAGCTGAAGTATTTTCCATCTCAAGCATTGCTGTTCTGGTAACTTATTTGTAGTAGTTTTTGTATGTTCTGTGTTCAAAGAGAGTAAAACTTACTTCATTTACATTTAATACAAGCTGGCTCCGTGGTTTATTACAGTGGTTTCTACAAACAAAGCATCTGTATAAAAATGTGTTACCAAGGGGCAAAACCAGAGAAGTTATGCCATAACAGATGTATTGAAAAATAACACAAGTGACTTCTCTATTTTATGGAGAAGTTTGCAAATATCATATGATGGGTTGGTTGTCTTCTATCTGTTGAAATCCTGTATTTTCTGTCTCATGAGATGCTATAATTATATTACTCAGTAGTATGGATCTGGAAGCTGACAAACAGTGTAGCTAGGATTTGTTTAGATTACAAACATTATGATGCTCCAGTGTGGTTTTGGATTTGGCTATTGCCATATTGTTTGGAGATAATCTAACCGTGCATGTTTACTAGAGAAATGCATGAAAACAACTGAGTGCAACAAAGTATTTCTTCCTTTTCTGCTCAGCAAAAACAGGGGTCTGGAACCAGCTTCCATTCCAGGGTAGTTCAGTGCAGGAGTAGCAACTGCTGATTACACTCTTCATGGCTTAATTCTTGAGAGTACCAGTTCTTATTGTTTTTTTTTATCTGTCTTATTTTGTGTAATTCCTGGAGAATGTTAGCTGGAAAGCTTTTAAAATGTCAAAGATTAAACAAAAAAAAGCAGAGAAACAATAGCGTGTTTGTAAAAAGCAGAGAAACAATAGCGTGTTTGTTGTTGTTTGACTCACATTACTGGACAAGAGCTTCCTGTGATCTCTCTTCAGCTTTACCATAGATGAAGATGACTTTGTTCACTTTGAAGATACTATGCCACCAGTTATGCAGAATTCCTGAACTGGAATACATTGTGTTAATTACGCTTGGGCTCAACATGAGAATTAATCTGAATTCTGGCAGCATTTGAACTTGAGAAGTAAAGGGGCTCAGATTTCTTGCTAGGGAAACTATAGTCTCCTCAATTAAAAGGTAGCTCTGTTTGCTTTGCAAACCTGAATCAGCTGCTTCCCTCCAGTGTCTTCTCTGGAAACTTCTGTGTACTTAGAATCTCTGGAAAAAAGGCTGGTTTTCTTCAGTTTCGGGAATAAAGATTTAGAAATAGAACTTCAGCCACATCATTGCTGCAGGCTGCAACCAGAAATTAAAATGTGAAGGAAGAGTAGATGTAATTCAAGATGAAACTTTTGCAAGGGATAATTAGTTATGGAAACCAAAGAGAATCACCTGTGCATGCTTGTTATACTGTTATACCAGAGGAAAGATAATCAGAAGTGTTCAGTGTGAGAGAAAGGACAGGTGAGGCAGGTACATGACCAGCTCAATTTTTTTTCTTGTTCATAAGGTTGGGAGGAACATGGGCTTGGTGGAAGAGTGAGGCTTGAATTTGCTACTTGTGATACGTTTATCTTCTTTTCCTTACCCTCTTCATTGCCTTTCCTCTTTCACTGGTGTTTGTGTCCTTACAGGGTTTGATACTACTGCAAGGCAATCAGGTGAATGAGCTGCCACCTAATCCTGATGAACCAGGGAAACATCTTTTTGAAATTGCCCCAGGTAAGCCAGCATTTCTTTGTACTTTCAACATAATGTCATCTCATTCCTCTCCGTTGTCATTAACGATAATCAAACTGTACTGATCACTTCTAAGCATTCTGACTAGCCAGATTATATAGATAAACTGGGAAACGAGACTTGAAAGACTACTTAGCGTTCTTTTGGTTTGGGTATAACTGCTGTCATGATATCTCATGAAAAGAGTAGTTGAGGTGCCTCATGCTCCTTGATTTATTTTTAAAATTTTTTCTTTATTTTCCTTCTCTCTGTCTGGACGGGGTTCCTTGACTAGAATGCTGTGTGGTCTCCCAAGCTGCTGTGGTTTTCTGATTGTTATGGGAGAAGCTGACACAGCACAGTGCAGAACTTATGGAAACGGGGTGTGCAGTCGTGCAGTATCTGGATGTAATTTCTTTCATGTATACCAGTCACCCTCAGTTGTGGGAGGGGTGTGGAGTTTTAAAATATTTCACTTTTGGATAAAAGGTTTAAGAGAATAGATGACCTGCCATGGAGGAGGGGTTGAAATTTTGTTAGGTAGAAAATCTAATGATCTGTCAGTGTAGTCTTAATGTAAAGCTCTTGAAATCATTTTAGTTTCCATGTAAATGCTTCCTGTGGGCTGGCTTAATATCTCCAGGGTATATTTAGAATTAAGTTCCCTGTTGCAGCATAGGAGCAGTTGTATTCCCTTTATTCAGCGTTGATTGTAGTTGGTAGACAACTGTTCCTGTGCATAGGCTTGAATTCAGTATATTGTGGAGGTAGCTTCAAGTGGCAGGATCTACAGAGAAGAAAGGTGTTGCACTACTAGCAGTGTTAGGCTACAGGAGTGAGAAAGATGAACCAGGTTAGTCCTTCTATAGCTGTCTTCCAGTATGTGAAGACTGAGTTCCTGGGAACACAGAACGGACAAACACAACTATGGTAAAAGTCAGGCAAGTGCACTGACTCAGTCATGCCTTACTTCATGGCCAGTTGCTCCTGCATGGACTACAGATCCATGCTTCTTAGTACTATCTGTTTCCCTGCAGTGTTGGTCCTGTTGATGGGTAGATAAAAGTAATTATGTTAGGCTGTTTTTTTTTTTTTTTTTTTTTTTAATGGAACAGACAACATGGGAAACACTTGTCCCTATAGTTGAATGTTAGTGTTGTGGAAGCAGGTGTGCTTTTACTGGTGTCTTTGTGTTTTTTTTCTTACCCCCTAATGAGTCTGGTTTAATGTGCCTGTGTTACACACTCCTCTTAACACAGTATCAGGCAGCACTGCAAGCTTTTAAGTTCTGCCATCAGGCAGGGTTCTGCCATAACTCAATCACAGCATTGTTTGACACACCGGAAGCTACTTGAGGAGATTTATTTTTGTTTTCTCTTTCTTATCGTTGCACACTGTGTTAATGCCTCCTTTTTCTTATACTGCATCATGCCCTCATAGGCAGGGCCACACAAGCAGCAGGACATTGGCTTCACAGTGTTGCTTGCATGGAAGATCTCCTAGGAATTGTGTCACATTCAGACAGTGAATGCCATCTTCTGCACTATCTTTCAAAGATTGTGTACCATGCTGTTGTAGAAGGACCATGGACCTGGGATGTGAAAGCACTTGGGTGGTTGTGACTGTGAATGATCCTGTGTGTTCTGGCCGTGATCTGAAGTAATGAACTGAGCCACGAACTGGCTTGGTTGAGTTTCCTGCAGAATTTGCCCTCTGGTTCAAGGTGGGAAATAATCATTCTGCACTTCTTTCTCAGTCTGCCAGGTTATATTACTGTAGGCTGCAAAAGAATTGTCCTGAACTGCAGGTGGCTGTGGCTTAAGTGGAGTTGGTGAAGCAGTGCCACATGGCTACTTGAAAAAGGCTATCCAGAATGGTGGAAAAAGGTGATACTGTTAACAGCATAGTTGCAAATCCCAGGACATCCATGTTCAGCTTGTGGTTTTGAGATTGTCCTCCTCTGTGTTCCCTGGAAAAATGATTCAGACTTTGTGTGCACTACTGTACTTCCTGTAGAATTGAAATGTTTTCCCTACCTTGTGGAACTAAATTCTTCCATGTTTGCAGCAAGTTTAGTTTGCTACATGGATAGCGAGTACTGAAAAAGGATATAAATGGCCAGTCAATACAGAATGTGACTCAGTACAGATGTCACTGGAGAATGTGGCCTGAAGAGTTCCCAGTTTTGTTCACAGTATGCTTATTCTGTGCTGGTTGTGGTGTAAATGCCTTTTCTTTTTCGCATGTGTTCTGAAATGACTGTGTTCTATGTGGTTGCCAGCCTTCAAGACATAGTGAACAGCTCTTAAACAGATGCCAGATAGGAAGGGGAGCACAACTGATCTTGCAGGACCCATCATCACTGCCTGTCTTCCCCTGTACTGGATATATGGCTATGAGTGTACCTCTGCCTAATTCTGCCTCAATCCCCCCCTGCAAACTGGGACTATATCGTTTCTACAGGGATAATGAGATTTATTTTTTTTTAAGTCATCTTAACTAAGTTGAGGATCTTGTGAGTACAAGTACATTCCATACCTGAAAATAGAGGTATGGGATTTTACTGTGCTTGTAAGCACCAGAGCTTTAACAGAATTAAGAATAGTGTAGCATTCCTAAAACATTCCCATGGTTTCCTAGTACCAGCTTATCTGGCAGGGAAGTGAGGCTGAGATCTCCCAGCAAGGAAATGTCCGAAGCTTTCTAAAGTTTGTAGTACCAGTTACCAGCCGCTTCCTCAGTGCGGGGGCTAGAGTAACAGCATGTCCTGCACTGTAACAGAGCACATACTGATTTTTCTGTTGAGTAACAAGAACTAATGATGGTCATTGTGTAGTATTCATGTTTCATAAAGTTCACTTCTAAGCGGTGTAGTGCAGCTGGGAGAAGGGTTAACTAGGGACATGAGACTGTAGAACAGTTCTACAGTCAAACCAGTGTTAGTTCTGATAGCAGGACTTCCTGAAATATCTCCTTTGGCAGATGTGTTCTCTAGCTCCTTTTCTGGAGAAGCTATATAAATTTCTGGACCCTCTTGAACCCATTCATGCTTTCCTCCCTTACAGCTAGTGAAGTTCAAAATGGAACTGCAGGGTAAGCTATGGGCTCAAGTTGCTCTCATATTTCAGTGTACATTAGCAGGTGGTGGTGGTGTTTTGTTTTTTTTTTTTATAAAATTATCAGGGTAACATAAGGTCAGGTGCAAAACCTTAACCATTTGGAGTAATCATCACATAACAGCTGATATTTCTGGATGGAAATAATTACAGTATGTTGCTTGGGAGGGGAGTCCAAATCTGGTAACAGAAATTAGGGGCAACAAAGCAACCATGCATTAGCCTGGGTTTACAGTGCATTTCATAATGGTGTAATGCAGTGTGTAAAAAGCGCATGGATTGATTTGTAAGAATGTCTTAAGGAGTACTGATAGATTAAATGCTCCTGAGGTCTCGCCTTTTAGGAAGCTGATGCTTTTAATGCTCTGAGGCCAACAGTCTGCCTAGTTTTATTCTCTGGTCTTTGCAACACTGTGAGACGAGACACTCAAGTTTCTCTGGAGAATCAGAGATAAGACCTGGTATAGTAAGGCTTTCAAAGTCAAGGGAGGGAGTGGTAAAAAGGTTCCAAAGTTAGGAGTTGATAAGTGTTGTCTTTTGATAGATATGACAAGGGTTATTACCCACTGATTTGAGAATTGCTTTTATTTGTAGAAAACTTGGTGACTTTTCTTTAAGAAGATTCTTCTATTCTGGTTTAGAATGGATTCAGTTGATCTTTTCATGGAAAGTAAGAGGGGAAAGACAAAAACATAAACAAGAAATTTTCGATGAATTACCTGGTACCTCTTTGGCTAACGTCCTCTCCTGTGATGCCAGAGACCCAAGTTTCTTTTCCGCTGGGTTTAGACCAGGAACCTGAATCTGTAACCTGCATAGTGGGCAAGTACCCTCAGTGATTATGGCTTGATTTTATTTTTCTGGAAAGATGGATTTGCTTCATTTTGTACTATGAAATCATTCTAGAGTAATTGTCTTATCCAAAGAAAATGTGACCTATTTCAACAAACTGGTATATTACAGTTGAAAGCAGCCTTGCTGAAAAATTCCTGACCAAAACTCATGGTATGCATCTTGGTGTCTCTTTATCACTGACAAGAGCTAGTTCCTGTTTCTTGCCACAGTGCTTTAGGCCAGGGTCAACAGTGACAGCTCTTAGCTGTCTTTCTGTGAAAATAAGAGAGCAGTTCTGTGATGTTTAATTTGATTTAACTCGAAACTGCTGCTGAAGGAGTCGATCTTGTTTTTTCCCTTTCCTCTTGGCGGCTTCCCCAACATCTAATCACATCTCTTAATTCCACACTTATGACTGAAAAAGATGTTTTTCAAACCAGTTGGACTTCAATTCAGTTGAACTAAGCTTGATGAAAACTGTACCTTCAGGTTGCTTTTTGTGCTCCTGTTGAGTAGCACCATCAGTCCTCTCTTTAGTGAGACAGTCCTCTTCAGAAATGTTGCCTCAGACTTTTCGCAGACCCAGCCAGAGCAAAGATGACTGCATATGCTTGATTCATATGTAGAAGGTTACTTTCAAAACTTCTGAAGTCGGAGCTCTGTGGCATGCTCTTCAATTAATTATAAAGACTGAGCTCAGTATAGGCAGTTTGACCTTATGAAAGGGACCTGCAGTCAATAATGACTCCTTTAAAGTTGGACAGTGGTTACATTCTGCCAAAAATTAGGCTTGGGTGGAATAAAATACCTCATCCAGGAGCTCTTGTTCAGGGTTCATGTAGAAACTTTTACCGCCTTGTTTGTGCTATACAAGAATTAGGAAATCGAGAAAGGCGGAATCAGAAGGTGGGAGTCCTAACTTTTACAAGGAGAGTAACTGCTGGCTACTTTTTCTGTAGGGAGTCTGTCAGTGTCACTGACAGTGTCTTACAGAGCAGTGGAAGTGGTGGCTTCTTTGTCTTGTCCCAGTAGGTTGAATGATGCCTACAAAGC